TTTAGTAAGTTCCTCATAAATAAAATGCTCTAAAGTATCGATATCAGATGTTAATCCTGAATATTGCAAATCTCTAGTGATTCTATTTGTAAAATCAATTGCCTTTTTACCTTTGGCTGATAAATTCTTTTGTATAGATGAATGAGATAGAGGATTTCATTGAAGGAGGAAATACCTACACATCCATCAGCTTCTAACCATTTATCATTAAGTTAGGTAAAAAAGGCATTTATATCTACTGGATTTCTGATTTTAATCTGTAATTCCAAATTTTCAGGTAAATGGTTATAAAGAATAGGTAGAACATCTGCAAATGGTAAAGCATCTACACGTGGTCTAATTCATTTTTCATATGTTTCTGGAATATCAATAGAAAGGAATTTATTAAATATAAGTGCTTTCATAGAAGTCTGTGCTGAACCTAATTTTACTGCATGATATGTTTCTCAAAACCATGCTATAAATAATGCTGGAGTATTGACCAGATTTCCTGCACTATTATTAAATGGATTTGGAGGAGTAAACCTTCCTGCTATCTTACCTGCTAATACATTAGTTTTCATAGCATTATCAAATCCTACAACTCCTAATGAATTTCCATAATTAATTGCCTGCATAATATGATTATAATAGTCATCTGGTAGCTCTTGACTAATATATTGTGGTATTTGAGCTAATAGTAGGACCATTAAATTAAAAACTTCTGGTAGGGTAGCTATATTTCCTGAAGAATTTATTTGTAAATTCAAAATAATTTGTCTCAAATTTATTTTTTGAGTTTTCCATTTTTGATATCGATTAAATACCCAGATCTGGTTAAATTCTACCAAGTCAACCTCAGCTTTGCGTCTTCGATTTATTAGTTGAAGGGTAATCTTTTCTTGCAATAATATATGGTTACGCCTTTCTGCTCTTTGTGTCCTAAACCACAATACCCATCGTTCATCTGTTTCATTATTTAGAGCTTGTGTTAGTATTTAATTATCATTCTGTGATCTAGCTCAGACTTCTTGCAATTGTTGCCTAGAGTTCTGGCTCGTCAAATAGTTTGTTCTACTACCATATTTCGATCTTGCCAAAACTGACGAATTGTACTAGTATAAGTAATAATATTAGCCAAGCATGTTCCAACTCTATCAAATTGCCCTCTTATATCATCTGGAAGTATAACCCCTGCATTATCTAAATGTATCTGAATTCTTGCTAAAGAAGCTGAAGCCTCAAATCACCTATCTAAGATAGCTTGTATTGTATGCTCCATATCTAATATTTCTTTATTATTTGAAACTTTTTTATGACTTAGAC